GCGCCAATTCTCTAGGAGTTTGAAATAACTGTATGGCGACAGACTCTTTGTTTCCAAGTACAGGGTTTGGCGCCTACGCGCCAGTTCACTTAATGCTCTTTTGCTTCATTTAACCCCATTTTGTTTTGTTTTCACTACTTTTTCTCCATACTTGTACTTAAAACTAAAAAAACGCAAAATATCTTCCATTAAAGTGCAATATCATTAAAAATGAACATAAAAAATATATAAAAAGTTGCAGATTTTTAAGCATGTCAATTTCATTTCGGGCTTATCCTTGGAACTATCAATGCAAAAATTTAATTTATGAATGCTTCAAGTAAACTTCTTTCATTTGTTCCCGGTATTGTCTTCAGCAGCCTTCCGATTTCTCATCTTTTAGTTCACCTACATGATCTGAGTTTGAGAATTATTTAGAGAAGAGGGCAATATAATGGAAAACAAGCTAGCAACTCCTCAACAACTACGACGACATCAAACAAAATAGCAAGTTTTAGGTGGTCGTATATAATTACCCCTAAAATTTAATAAGTGGGTATTCAGTATCATTTTGTTTTTTATTTTTATTTTGTTTATTTTTTTGATTTGAAACAAAATATGTTTGATATATTCAATTATGATATGGTCATTCTTCAAAACATTCAAAAAGCCTAAAAAAATTTGCATATTTTCAAAAATATATTAATTTATTTTTAAAAATAAAAAAATGTAAGAAAATACGAAACAAACATATTTTTTTTAAAAAAAAATCCCATATAAGATCCTAAATAAACCATACAAATGTTATAAAAAAGTCATTTAAAAAAAGAAAATTATGAGAAGAAAACCATGAGCTTGAAAATTTATACATTAAAGCTTTATCGAGGATGCCTTTTTGCATATATTTTATGCTAGAAAAAATAGTCAATAATACCAATTTTGTTTAAGCTATTAATGATATGCTTTCGAGCCACCAAGCTCGAAATCAACTTGAATAGATTTGATGGGACAAGATCGACTCATGGCTCGTTGTATTCGATTTCGAGCCAAGCAGGCTCACAATTCAATCGAGCTCGATCCAACTCAAAATCGGAACAAGCTGGTTGAAATTGAATTATTTGGATAAAATTCAACATAAATCGGGCTCAAAATTGCAACTAACAAGCTCAATTAGAGTTATTTGGATCCGTTCCAGCTTAAAATTGACTTGCAACTTGTTATCTTCCATTTTACTTAGTATTATATATATAATTTTAAAAATAAAAAATACCATGAGCAATCTCGAGTCAATTTGAGCCGATCCATGTATGGCTCGAAATCGGCTCAAAATAGGTTCGAAAAACATATGATCCATAGTTTCAGCTCACAACCCACTTCATTTATTTTAATCTGATCTCATCCAAGCCAAAATTTGAATCAATTTTCGGGTGATTAACAATCTTCGAGCTAAATTCAAGCCCTAATTTTGATGGCATCTATATCAAATTATTAAACAAACAAATTGAACAGGTAGTTATCAATAAAAAAACACTCTTAACATTCATTTGAAATAGATTTTGGACCTTTCGTAATAAAATTAGACATTTTTATATAAAAGACCTAAAACTTTAAATATAACGGTTTGACCATCTAAACAAAAATTACATTTCATTTTATTTACCTTTGAAATAGAAATTTCAATTCATTATATTAAAACTTTTGAGTGATTGATAGTTGAAGTGTAAAATTTTAAGTTTAAGTGGTTAATTCATTATATTTAAAGTTTTGTATGCTTGATACGTTAAAACCAAAAAAAATAATAACCAATATAAGCTATAATTTCTATCAAAGCACATTTAAACGTTAATACATACATACATATGCTTATGTGCAGCCTACTCACCCAAGTTGGGAGTTTTATCATTATTCACAAGTTCATAAGCTTGACATATATGGGTGTGTGTGTGTGTGAATCTAAATATATACATATATATACAAATATCAACAAATTTTTGTGAGGGGGGACTAGAATATGATGAAAATGTTCCACACAAGCTCTCCTTAAACCCGCCTTAGAACAATTTTTCTCCAATCACCCAGTCACTTGTTGAACCAAAATTTCCGCCTGCTTCATCACACCCCTTCTATCCAACCAATGCTCCAGCACATCCACTCCAACCCACCCCTCAACTCCATCACACACACGAGAAAATATTACATAATTTGTAAGTATGTGCATTCAACGATAAATGAGATGGCCACATCACCATAATTTTATTTAGATGTACGTGACCTTCCCATCTACTATTGTCGGCACATACTTAAAAAATATGTATGATGAAAATGTTCCACACAAGCTCTCCTCAAACCCGCCTTAGAACAATTTTTCTCCAATCACCCAGTCCCATGTTGAACCGACATTTCCGCCCGCTTCATCACACCCCTTCTATCCAATCAACGCTCCTGCACATCTACTCCAACCTACCCCTCAACTCCATCACACACACGAGAAAATATTACATAATTTGTAAGTATGTGCATACAACGACAAATGAGATGAGCACGTCACCATAATGTTATTTAGATGTACTTGACCTTCCCATCCACTATTGTCGGCACATAGTTACAAAATATGTAATATTTTTTCCACGCACACAAATATTTGTGTGCACGTGTCGTGTGCTTAAAAAAATTAATGCTAACAAATTTTGACAAAAAAAAATTTAGAACCACCAATGTCTATCTCAAACTCCTATGAAAAATGTTTAGAAAATTTTTGAAAATTTTTTGCCCCGTTTCTAAAATTATTTGACTCTATCACCACATATATCACACTTAAATTTTAATATTTATCTACATAACATCAACATCCCCAAATCACATAACAATGCCACTAATATTCACGAGTGAAGCAACATATGTTTTAATGTAAATTTTAGTTTAAATATAATTTAATAAATCAAGTAAATCTATATTCAACAAATCCTAAGGTGTTTAAATCCTAAAAACTATTTGATATGTTAATAAATCTTGATAAATACCGAGAAACTGTCAGACAATTTTAGATCGATTTAGTTAATTAAAAATCTTTGTAATTAAAGCTATATAAAGTGATTTGATTTTTATATTTATACCACTTAAATCATTCCCATCATACAAAAATACCACAACTACTAACTTTTAAAAAGTGAAACCCATCTTTACAAGTAGTTAAAGAGGTATATATATCAAAATTAAAGTTGTGATGTTCAATGCATAAATACATGTGAATTATGTGGTCTGTATGCAACTCTTAAAAATTTTTTTTGCAATTTATACCCTTATATTTTAACTCCGTCATATTTGCATTTTTTATTTTTTAAGAATGTTTAGATGTTACCTCTAGTACAGAATTGAAAAGACAAAATGGAGGTCGGAATATAGATGTTACCTCTAGTTTGTCTTCCTTTGCCCTGTGATTGGGGAAGCAATCTGAAGTCCCCAGTCAAGCGTAGACATTCGCTTACATTCTCAGGAGAGACAAAATCAAGGGCAACTTTCGTGCAAGACTGCAGTAAATGGATTAGAAACAAACATGCATGCAGAAACAATTATAAGTGCCAAAGTTGATCTACGGAAACTGAATATGGAATCAAAATCATATACCTTAACGTTGCGCACTTGATGGGGACAGCCTGTAGGGATGAATACTGCTTCTCCTAGGCCTTGAACAAATGTCCATGGCTCTATCCCTGCAGAAGCACATGGGCCACTAAGAGTTTCCAAGTGTTCCATATAAGAAAAATAAAACAAAACAAAACAGACTTATAGCTAACCAAATTCCTCCTAGAGGTTCCTTTTGTGTTCCCAGGTTAGATAGACCACCTCATCAAGGACTGGATTAAATACCTATAATACACATTTTGGTTTATTAGGACATATAATCTACCTTGATAATCCAATTCCAATAAATAGGCAAACCAACCTGTTCAATTAGTGACCAAAAAGTATGACGGAATTCCTTGGAATGTTTTCTAAGATATGCTTTCAGCGGTTCTACATCTTCTTTCCAAAATATGTCCCATAAAGCACCTCCGTCTTGCATTTTATCTTGCTGATCATTTTCATTCCCCAGCTCCGGTAACTCATCCGCATATGTTTCTTCCATCCTGCTACAAGTCTCTTCTCCATGAAAGCTACTACATCTCTCTCTTTCATCTTGATCTCTGTGCAACTTCTTGAACTTCTCTATTGCAAACTTATGCTCTTTAGTTGGCAAGACCTCTGCAACATGCATTAAAATATTTACCTGTACCAAAAAACTGTGATTATCTGGGCGTTATACTGACACTTCAACAGTAAAATGCAACATTCAACCTGCAAACAAAAATAAACAAGCTGACTTGAATGTCATTTTTTCTGTTAACTTCCCATTTAAAATTTGTTCATGAGATGGGTGCATATGGCCCTTTTCTTTTTTATATTTTATAACGCAAGCGATTCATCATCCATGACCAGGTTTCTTGTTAAAGTTGATGCATTGAGCTTAATATTACACACTAACTAACAAGAAAACATCAATGTGGCTGACATCCTTCAATCAAATATAACATTTGTATCTCATGTTCGATTTTGTTTTTTTAACTTTTTGGAGCGTTATTATATGTAATAAATCTAATGCCCAGAAAAGCATGTGCAAAGATAAAATAAGATGAAAGGAAAGTATCAAGCTCTTCCAAGGAAAAACACAGCAGCTCAATATATGTTTTATTGCTTCCATTATGCTTAGTCAGATACTTTGAGCTGCTGTGTTTTTCCTTGGAAAAGCTTGACGGTTTCCTTTTATCTTATTTTATCTTTGCACATGTTTTTATGGGCATTAGATTTATTATATATGATAACGCTCCAAAAAGTATTAAAAAAATAAAAAATCAAACATGAGATACAAAGATTATATTTTGTTTGGAGGATGTCAGACACGTTGATATTTTTCTGTTAGTTAGTGTGTAATATTTAGCTCACTACATCAACTTTAACAAGAAACCTGATCATGGATAAATATTTAGCTCACTGCATCAACTTTAACAAGAAACCTGATCATGGATGAGGAATCGCTTGCATTATAAAATATATGAAAAAAAAGGTTCATATGCACCCATCTCATGGACAAATTTTAAATGGGGAGTTAACAGAAAAAATGACAATCAAGTTAGCTTATTTATTTTTGTTTGCAGGTTGAATGTTGCATTTTACTGTTGAAGTATCAGTATAACGCCGAGCTAATTACAGTTTTTTGGTATATGTAAATGTTTTAACGCATGTTGCAGAGGTCTTGCCTACTGAAGAGCAGAAGTATGCAATAGAGAAGTTCAAGAAGTTGCATAGAGATCAAGATGAAAGAGAGAGATGTATGTGTTTTTCCTTGGAAGAGCTTGACGGTTTCCTTTCATCTTATTTTATCTTTGCACATGTTTTTCTGGGCATTAGATTTATTATATATGATAACGCTCCAAAAAGTTTTAAAAAAGTAAAAAATCAAACATGAGATACAACCTAACGTTATATTTGATTGGAGGATGTCAGACACATTGATGTTTTTCTGTAGTGTGTAATATTTAGCTCACTGCATCAACTTTAACAAGAAACCTGGTCACGGATGAAGAATCGCTTTCATTATAAAGTATAAAAAAGAAAATGGTCATATAATATGGGATGAATCTTGCTTCCCAAAAATGGGACATGCAATTTTTATTTGATAAGCATTATGCAATTTTAACTATAATTGTAAGCATTATAGTTAGCCAACACGATCATTAAAGGAAAAATTAATTAGAAATTAATGACATTATAAAAAGCTCACGTTTTGCATCTGAAACATCACAATGAATCTTGGTAACTGAATCTCCTCTGCCAAGTTCTTCTCTCATTCCATAAGCAATATATGATTTCGGCCCCATGTCCAGCCTTAACATATCAGTGGGAAGAGCTGTAGAAATGTTTAACGGACTCATTCGGGTGAATTGATGAATTCATTCCCAATGTTTGTGAGGATTTGTGTACTCCTGAAATGGTAGTGAATTGATGAATTCATTCCCATGATATGGTAAACAATCTTCAAAATGTGTTGATGTAGGCCAATCCTTAAATTTTAGCATTTCTGGCCAGGAATTGGCATACATTCTTCCTTCAAAGTAGTCCTCAAAAAAGTCATCACTCGCTAACTCAACCTATAGTAAGAAAATCACTTTAGCCAATATACCATTATCATCATTATAAGTCTTTTTTTAAAAGCGTCAAGTAACAATAAATGAGAAAGTGGATTGCTAAGCTATAAATCTGTTGGTGTAGGAGATGAACAACAAAAATAAGAAACATAGAACAACAAAAATTATATTAAAAAGGCTTGCCTTGCAATGGGCCAGGCAATCGATTGTCTGAAGCTGAAAGAATTCTGAACTAATATTGCTTCTGCTTAAATTTTTCCACATAGCCTTCGGATCCCAGCTTAAATGTGATTTCTCATCAAGAACCCACGCACAATTACTGGCTCACTCTTAGCCCAATGATTTTGGAAATTCTTAAGTTCAACTAGATCAATGCAACTAGAATTTGGACAATATAAGATGTTGCCTGTTGAATCTCTTCTGGAGGCTGCTTTTCTAGAATTTTCACTTGTATTTGAACAGCTACAGCTTGCACTTGCAGTATTAATAGAATCATGTAGGAATCCAAACCTTCCTAAAAGAGTTTCAGCCTTGGCTTCCAGTTCAGAGATCCAACCTTCAGCAAGCAAACATTTTAATTTCAAGACAGCACCACCACACCCTCCAACTTCCTTTGGTGGACAAGAAATTGTTCCATTTTGATCAGCCTTCCACTTAGCAAATTCAGTACTATAATGCACTGACTTATCTCCATTTTCATCATCTGCAGCAAACATTTGGGTAGAATTTCCACCATGCAAATATTCATTTCCTCTATTTACAAGAGGAAGTAATTCCCCTGTACAAGAAAGATTATTCTCACGAATTTCTTTGCAACAAGTAATGCATAGATCAAATTCACAACCAGGGCAGCTTCTATGAATATCGACAATAGATGTTTTGCAGTAGTTGCTGCACAAAAAATAACAAAAAATTAGATTTAAAAGGGCTTAATAAGATGAACAACTTGATGAAGAACTTTTCTTACCAATATGCTCTCTCATCTTTTTCAAAAATGGATTTCTCCATCCTCAAATCAGATAACGGCAAACCTGTTAATGATAAGCATAATTTATTATGAATAATCTTAGCTAAATTATTTAAGCATAATCAAATTTTATCAAAAATCAAAATAAAGAACCTTGAATGCTTGACTCAATTTTCTTTTCAATGTCTTGCTCCTGATTCAGTTGCTTTAAAGAAGGCAGCAGAAGATTAAGCACACGAACGTTGTTTTCAACTTTATGAAGTTTATCAAAATCTCTGCTAGGAGTCTAAAAATCATACAGAAATAAGATGAATGCCAATCTTCAAAAAACCTTATTACTTAGTAGTATTAATACAACTTTAATTTTACAATGAGAATATGTGCAAAATCATATTTCTCGATCACAATTCACAACTATTGTACAAGTGATCAGCATGCCAACAGCCCCACATTTTTGGTGTATACATTCTAGCTCAGCGATACCATAGGATAGCTTGATGAAAAAATAAAACTACATAAATCAATCCATTTGAATACACAAAAAGTAAAATTCATGTTCAATCTTCAAAAACTGTACGAAAAAAATCGAAGGAAACAAAAGTTGGATAAAATGGGTCAAATGTTTGTTTCTGTAAAAGTCGTAGTTATAAGTGAACATCTAACTTATTATTAGGATGATTTTGTGACATAGGCATTTGGATCGCAGAGAACCTCATTTGCATTTCCTAAAAAAGAAATCTGAGATACATTGAAAATTGCTAGGCCTCTTAAATGCTTTGACAATAATTGGTCTACGGACACCTCCACAAAGAAATACAAGAATTGGTCTACGGACACCTCCACAAAGAAATTTCGGATTCAACGCATATATAACAAGAATATGATGAGCAGTTGGCATAATCTATTTTCCGAGTTCAATGGAGTCAAAGAGTACCTTGGATAAATTATGAGAACTCTTACAAACTCCGCAGCCATAAGTTTCATCTCATGATGGCAAAGATTTCAAGCTCATCTCATCAGTCATGCTAGTAAACAATGCAAAGCTCGCAATGAAATTAAAAATAAAAAATTAGGGCAAAAAAGACTTTCAAAGACGGACAAATAAATTAACAGGTTTGTGCTGTGTACCACCTACCGTATGCTTCCAGTTTCGCTCAGACTCTTGAAAGAACTTGAGCAATTTGAAATCATATCCTCCTTCCCAATTGTTCTGCGCTCAAGGCATATCCTCTTTGCAGAATTCTTACATTGAAGAAACAAATGTTGAACAATAAAATTAAATTGGTTAAAGGCCGGGCTAAGGAAAATAACATAAATTAAAATAAACATACATTTCCGTATCTGTGGCGATTTTTCACGGAAGAAATGGAAGATGTCGAGCAGGTAGGCTCCACATTGCCGATAAGAACATTCCGATCCAAAACAGGAATCCGAGATGAAGCCGCCATTTCCTTCCTCTTCCTAGACGAAACGAATTCGCCACCGTTTTCCACCATCGAACCCTTCGTTCTCTTCCCCCTCCTCCCGAATCCATTCTTCTCCACATCTTCCTCATCCCTTCTCTTTCGCTTGGTTTTACTCGCCGATTATGTCTCTCCTCCTCAAAATTCCAATCAATGCCATGTTCTTCAATCTCCTGGAACGAATCCTCGAGCTCATTTGAATCCGGCGAATTGGGAAGATAATAATCGAATTCGGAATCGTCGATCGAATGATCTACCCTCGCGGATCTTGAAGAACATGACATTGATTGGAATTTTGAGGAGTCGTCCGGAGTTTGCAGACTCCCCGTCGGCACCATTGTCGCGTCTATAGAAGAGGGAAAAACTTCGATTAGGTTTCTTTATATAAGGAAGCTAATATTAGCTCCATAAAGGTACGATCCTTATTTTTAGAAATATTACTGATAGAATATTATAAAAAAGTTTCTGAAAGAATATTATCTGTTGTAGGGCTGTCAAAATGTTCGGCTTTCTAAGAGGCTCGAGTTCGGCTCACTAATTTCGTTCGATAAGTTAACGAGTCGAACACAAACTAAGATGTGTTCGTTTGTGTTCGGCTCGTTTTGGCTCGAAATACATATTAAGTAGTATTTTAAAAAATCTAATTGACTACAATGCTACAAAGATTTATAATCAATTAAAATATTGATTAAGAAAATATAATAAAAATTATTAAATTAGATTCAAATGATGTTTTAATATAAATAATAATTTTTAAATCTTTTTCAAACTCTTATTGTCTTATGTCTTATGGCTACATGATTAGGATTGTTAAAATGACTCTTTGTTCGTGAACAGCTCGTATTCGGCTCGTTAAGCAAACGAGCCGAACACGAACACACTTTTGAGCTCGAAATATAAACGAGCCGAACAAGAGCTGAGCATGGCTCGTGTTTGACTCTTTTACACCCCTAATCAGTTGCATTTGCCGTATTCAGATGTCATTCATAATCAAAATTTTAAAAGATTTTTTTTTTCTAAGTGTAATTTCTTTTAATCCGTTATAAATAATATATATATTTTTTTCAAAATTATTGATACATGGTTAACAAATTTTTATCCTCTGATATTGTGATATAAACCTTGGTATAGTTTTCTGAATAAGGAATATTTACGCTTCAATTAAAAATCATTCAGAATTCTGATTTCGGCAAACTGACACTCAAACTAATCACAATGATATCAAAGTAGTTCTAATCCGAGTCTAAAAGCCCAGATCGATTCGTTAATCATTTTTAGAAGCATTTGGTGTCTAATAGGAATGTTAAAAAGATTTCAAATCTTTTAAGTTTACAGTCAAATCGAGCGTCTCGATGAGACAAATTTGACGAACCCAAGATAATTCAATTTTGACACCATTAATACACTCAAATATTTACACAATATATTTTTATTGAGACAATCTCTCTGAGTCATTCAAAGAAGTTAACATGATTTCTTCTTTATTTTCACGGAGGTTTCTCACATACTCTATAAATAGAACTCTACTCCCTTCATGAAGGGAGAGCTAGATCTTGAACCGTAGGAAGCCTGGGACTTGGAGGAGAATGAGTTGAGGTACACTGTTCCACACTAAAGGTTTAATGAATATCACCCGCTTCTGTAACCGTTAGACATCGTTGACCACAGGCGTCTACCCCTTGCTCATTGCAATGAAGCTTTTTTATGGAATTATGACGTGCACTATGAAATCTCGGCATACGCTGAGGAGTAACAAAGCATCATGCTGAGTAACTATCAACATTGCAAAGTAACGAAACACTCCATTAAGTAGTGCAACGAGGCAACCTGAAGATAATGCAACGATGCACCTTGCATACTGCGCAATGACGCGTCCTGCAAATGGTGAAACAACATGCCCCACATACGGTGCAACGACGCCTCTCAAAATGTAACTCCTAACTCCGAAATTTGCAGTTCATGACTGTTATTACAACTCAAGCAGCTCCCAACTCCAACCTCTATGGCCTACGAATGTCATCGCAGCTCACTATTACGACTTATGTGGTCCACAATCCATGCATATCCCATCTTTGATCTTTGCAGCCTACAGATTACCACGACTCATGTGGCTCCCAATTCTAGTCTTTGTGGTCTATGAACACTATCAAAACTCATGTAGCTTCTAACTTCATCCTTTTTGACTTACGAACATTATCGCAGCTTATGCAGCTCCCAAATTTGGCTTTTGTAACATACATTTAATATTGCAACTTACCACTATGGCCTACGTGGTTCACAACTCATAGAACTCCTGCTCTATCATCTACAACCTATAGACGTTACCACGACTCATGCAACTCCCAACTCTGACCTCTGCAACCTTCTGACGTTATCATTGGTCATGAGGCTTTCAACTCTGACCTCTATGACCTACAAGCATTATCAAAACTTATGTTGCTCCCAACTCTACCCTTTATGGCATATGAATGTTATTACAACTCACCAATAAGATATATATTACTAATTGCAAGCTACATGTTCCACATTTCATGTAGCACTCAAATTCAGCCTCTGGGCCTACGGACGTTACCATAGTTCATGTAGCTTGCAACTCCAACTTCTATATTCTACAAATGTTCACAGCTTATGTAGCTCTCAACTCTAGCCTCAGTGGCCTACGTATATTTTCATAGCTTGTGCAGGTCATAACTACGACCTATATAGACTACGGATGTTATCGCAGCTCACTGTTTTGACTTATGTGATCCACTACAGCTTATTTGATTCATAGCTTATGTAGCTCCCTACTCCGGCCCATGCGGTCTACAAATATTACAACTCATGCATCTCTTAAATTTGGCCTTTGAGACCTACAAAAATTGTCACAACTCATGTAGCTCCCAAGTCCGGTCTCTAGACCTACGAACAAAATATGAGACTCCAATATTTTTTGTCTATAAAAAAATAGAGAGTAATTATTCATGGTTGTCAACAATAAGTAGGATAAATTAGTATATGAACATATAATCTTCACAGAAACTAAATCAAAGAAGCTTCTCACACCCTATTTGCAACAAAAATATTCTAGATTTCACTATAACAGTTTAAGAATTTTATAAAACCCTTACAAAAAGCGTAGATCTTTTGGATTGGCCATTGGATTAGTAAACTAGTAATTAAACTCTTTTAAAAAATAATTCTTTCATCATGAAATCAACAACACGGACTCATGGTATGTTAATTACTTGGGTGACACATATATTTAATTGATTAACATATGCATCATTGCACAATAGATCAATCATGAGAAAATCAATTAAAAATACTTTAGCTAACTCACTGGCATGCTACAAAGAGAATTGCAAGATAAGAAGATGTATATAGGCTCCATAGAAATTGAAATCATTATGAAAGAGCCATCGCGGCCCCTCACAAATCTTTCCTATTTGCACTTTGCTCTTTATAAATCGAGTTTGAAGGATTAGGGTTTACAACGCCTCATCCTGATTGCTCTCCCTCTTCACCTGATCTTCCTCTCTCTCGATTTCGCCCAAAACCATCGCCTTCGCGACTGAACCCCGCGCGATACTGTCGCGGAGAAGGAAACAACGGGATCACATCTTACAGAGATCATCGTAACTCCCCCTATCATTCGCTCCTACCTGAAACTATCGAGAAAGAAAACCCTTGCTTTCCTCCCTCTCGCACACTTCAGCTTCTCTAAATCCAAATTCATGGCAGAGGAGGAACGAGATTTAAGAAACAGAGGATTAAAAGATATTTTTCTTGGTTATTATATTTCCACTTTTCCTTAATAAAATTTATTCAAAAGTCTATCTTTCCTCGTCATTAAAATATAGCAAAACTAAGATATTGCTTTAATTATTAGTTAAAGTTTAATAAGGTTCATAACTTCTTACTAATAATAATAATAATAACTATAGTAATATTAATCATTATAATGAATTTCAACTAGATTATACCTAAGTAATAATAGCATGATTAATCTTACCTCTTAATTGATGTCGAATCGAACGTCAAACCATCGAATTCATAGAATAATCATGTTTGCCACCTCTAGGTAAGTAACTGCTCTTTATTGTGAGATAAACGTACATTTTCTAGTTAGGGGTCCCGTCATTGCTTATGGTATTAGATTTCTAGTAACTTTTAGGTTGTGATTCGTAGCTTTCAAATCTTGCTCACATAATTGTGATAGTTTCTACTCTCATAATTACCTTAATGGATAATTAGCCTTGTTTTATTCATGCTCGGCAGCATGTTATATTGTCCACACTTCATGATTTCAATACTTTTTATTTATTTCATATATTTGATGTGGCAAATCTCATTAATTTGGTTTCATAATTGTTATAAACATTGGTGGATATTTTGTAATTACATTCTTGTGTTGATTGCAATACATGAAATATAATTAATATTATAATATTATTGTGTCGGTATTAAATCATTTTGTTATGGTTAGTCGGATCGCGAGCCTTTCAGAGAAATCAGTAGATTTCCATGAGATTGGTGTCTACTTTTCCTTGTTCCAGGGTGTCGTAGTAAACCAACCATGTATATTTATATATGTATAATTTTATATATATATA